AGATGACCATATAGCAACCATGGCACAAACAACTATTCCGGTAACTATGGCACAGGTGACCATCAGGGCTCGAAATGGGCCACTATTTTCTGGCCCGGCCCGGCCCAAAGCGGTCCATCAAATTTGCTGCCCACCAGGCCCAACTTGTCGTTGTTTCAGCCTGGCCCAGCCTGGCCCATCAAATTTGTCGGCCCGCCCGGCCCAGCCCAACATAGGCCCAGCAAAATTGTTTTTAGAAAATATTTTTTGCAGAACGGATTATCATAATAAACGTTGTATTTCAAAAGAAATTTTCGTAGAGTACATCAATAATTTATTGATGAATTTAATGGCATTGGACCATTAATGTAATAACAAAAGAAGATATTAACGAGTACCACAAAAAACTACTAGATGTAGAACAAATGAAAAAAAATCAACATTCGTCTGAGAAAAGATTAGCGGTATTCATTAATGCTTTACATATTCCACGAATAAATGAAGTTTATCACAAGAAAAAACAACGAACAGAAAGAAGTTTTTGTTGATTACATGTGAAAGCAACCGTAAGAAAACCAATAACAGATTACATAAACAAAAAGGTTATTGGTTTACTGTACTATCCAATGATACTTTCATAGACATTTCCATGATATATATTTTGTAATAATTTCTGAACCTGATGACATTTATAAAATTTAATAAAAAAAATCTTGTCGGCCTGTCCGGCTCGTTGGTCTTTTTCGATTGGCCCGCCCGGCCCAACAAAAACAATTTGTTGGCCCGGACCGGGCCATGTTGGGCCGGTCCGGGTCAGGCCGGGCCGCTGGGCCAGGTGGCCAGTTTCGAGCCCTGGTGACCATATAGCAACCATGGTACAAACAACTATTCCGGTAACTATGGCACAAATGACCATCTAAAGACTGATGTAAATGAACCTATAATAATCATCGGTAAAATGTCAATGAAATAACTATAATTCGGGTAGTGGTGTAAAACGGCTTACAAAAGCATTTAATTAGTGAGAGTCAGACCAAATGAGCAGTATGGATTTAAAGAAATCGTTTAAATTATTCATTATTGTAGGATTGATTGTGCAATGTTGTATCAATGAATATCTAATTTATTAATAGTTTAGAATTAATGCGCGAATTGAAGCATAAAATATTGATTAATAAAACTCAAATTTTATGAATAATATAATTCATATTTTTGTACGTACAAATAGCGCCAATATAATTGCAAAAAAAATTGTATTCTTGTCTAATCTTATTGAGCGCTGTTTATATTTATAAAAGCAAAAAAAAATAAAACAAAAACGACAAAAAAAATTAAATTTGTAAAATGCATTATCTTTACTTAGAGTGAGAATTCTCCGAATTAAGTTTTCTGCTCGCCTAAGATATACTGGTTATATTATCAATTTTGCGTATTACTTTTTTAATGGAGCTTTTTATGCTATTACATCCGTACATGTATTCTATCAGTCTAGGGCTAAGTGAATCGCTTGACGATGAACGTTACTTGTTTGGTTAAACTATATCAATTACACCAGTACACGGAGACACGTGCGTGCAAGCATACAAACGCACAAACTCATTTTATTTTATATGATTTGTCCTTCAGTAAAGAGAATAAACAGATAGATTCTGTTGAAATAGTGAAGAACATTAAAAAAAGGGGCACATTCAGTAAATGTATGGAAGGTAAGAAGTTTCTATGCGTTTTTGTCGTCTCTGTTTTAGCGACTTCGACGCAGTTGCGCGTAACCACGATTTTTTTTAGTCGTAACTACGTGTAACGGTGTCGTAGGTTTGAACAAGCATGATAAAAATGCGATGCAGCTACTCATAGTTAAGTTAAAAGATCGCAGTTACGCTAGTTTCCATTGTTGCAGAATTTTTTGTCGACAAGGTAGTTCCCTGATGTCAATTTCGTCAAATCTATTCATAAATGAAACGAGTCTGGATCAAATATGATCCATTTCATATTTGAAGGATGAGTGGTGGTAATGTAATTTTTCATTCCCCTCCCCTTCCCCCTCTCCCCTCTTATGCCATATTTTTTTAAAAATCTATGGTAAGAATCAGGCTGGAATTTTGAAAAAAACAAGCTAGTTTATCTATTGAACCCTAAAACAAAATTTCGAATATAAATTCGTGTGCCGTAGTCCTGTAGGAGAGCCAAAACAATTTTTTTTTCGAAAATTATTTTACGTATACAAAAATAAACTAGCTTGCTGGGGTGGCCCCTTTACATTCTTTTTACTTTTTAAAAGGAGAGGTAAGTGAAAAAACTTTATTTTTTTTCGAGTTGTAAAAGCATCAGTCAAATCTCCTGTGGTGTTCTATAACGAGAAAGTTTAATAGAAGAAAAGAAAGCAATCAGAAGACATTAAAAAAATGAAATAAGTTAAAAAGAAAGTAAAACAAAGGTGAAAGAAGTAAAAACTAAAGTTGTGCAGATGACAGTCATGACTGCTTATACGAACATAAGTGTTTGTTCGGTCTCGAGTAGAAGGGAGAAGTTACAGTTACTCGCTAGTTCCGTTAGCAAGTATTATCAGTGAAAACTTTGCCACTTTATCAAAGGCAAAGTAAGTTTATAAAAACAACGGTTATTTCATAAAGTTTAATCAAAGGCAAATGGGGTTTAACAGTTCGAGTCTGTCATCGATTTCTCAAAATCTGGAGTTCGATTCTTTTTACCATAGGAAGCTTTTTTAGTAAAAAGCATCAATAATTTCACAAAAAAGTGTTTTAAATATAAAAAGGGCTTTTTTGGCTTAAAAACCTTTTTTTGAGTAAAAAAAATGAAACTCAAAATGTCTCAACAGTAGTTACAGATTCGAATTTGTCAATCATGTTCACCTTGGATCAATTTTATAAAAGATCGTTATTTTTCAATAATGCCCTCGCTATTTAGGGAAAAATAAAACTCAAATCTTGAGAAACCAATTTCGCAGTCTCTCTGCAGGTAACGTACTAACGCATTTTTAACATTCGGTTAGTCATAACTCATTAATTTAACGTGACAAAGAGCTCAAACTTCAACTGTAGCAAGATATATGAGAGTTCAAGTTTCACTAAAATTTTCATTTCATTTGGTCGAGCTGAGACGACACTACAAGGCTAGAAAATATGGCAACGCACTCGTTCAAAAGAACTTCTTCCATTAGAACGACTTGAAAAAGCTCACATTCCTAGAGAACTTCTCGATCTCAACAAAATGTTTATGTCTGTGTTTATGGCTAAAATAACAAATTTTACAATGGTAAGATTTTCTTATCGCAAGTTTGTTTCTACACAGAGTTACGGTCAAAACATTAGGGCGATGCACTCAACACTTGGTAACGGACTCATCAGTTTTTTTTCCATCCACTAGAAAAGCATGTTTTTTTTACATGTTTGAAACCAACAGCAGGTGATCTACTGATATCAAACTGTAGCTCATCCTCCGCGGATACTAGTATTGTTTCCCTTTTTAAATCATTAAGGAGTGCTCGAAATATAGTATTACACAATAGGGCACTTTTTCACACCATTTTCGGGTAAAAATGCTTGATTTTGACTGACAACTATCATCTGTTCTTATCACTATTGAAAACGAACGACATATATTGGTAGGAAATATAAGAAAATTTCTGAAAAATTTTTGAATCAATAAGTTCCATTTGGATTCCTTGACCGCAATGGCGACGAACTGAAAGATTGTGCGCCTATTCTCATCAATAACATGATAATGAGCGGATAGAAATACAGAGGAAAAGGTCACGCAATAGAAAAATGAGAGTTAGCCACAAGGTCAACCCATAGCAAGTGGATATATAGCGAAGAGGATAGCATACATGCAGTGAAGCGTAATGATCGGTAACCGTCTCACCGATAATATTTGATTAAACTTTATGAAACAATCGTTATTTTCATTCACAAAATTACCTTTTCTTTGATAAAGTTGCAACGTTTCCATTGCTAATACTTGCTAATGGAACTAGTGAATAACTGTAACTTCTCATTTCTATTCAAGACCTAACAAACATTTACGCCCGTATAAGCACTTATGATCTCCGTCTGTACAGCTTTAGCTTTTACTTCATTTCACTTTCTTTTTAACTTTCTCTTTGTAGAACAGCAAAGAGAATTCCGCTCAATCTTTTGCAACATGAGAAACAAGGAATATAGTTTTTCGGCTTTCTTTTCCTTTCTTTCAAGAGAGCAGAGTATTTACTTTCCTTTTTTTAGGAAGAAAGTAAAACTGTTAACCTTAATAAATGTTTGCTTACGGCATAAATGTGTCGCAATTTGTGTTAATTCAGCACATGAGGAAATTGAAAAAATCTGAAACAAAATCTACCTATAAGAGATTTTCTTATGTGAGGGAAGTTAGCAGCCGATTCGAGTTTTTCGCAAAACGATTCGCTTCATTGAGTGAACCACACCAGATGTGCAGTGAGCTAGATGCAGCTCGACGAGCTCTATCCAATGGT